AAAAACGTATAGAACATAAAAACTGTTCAATATACCAAAATGAGTGTAATCTACACCAAAAGTTCTCTGAATGCATTTTATTGAAAGAATGTATAGTTATTATTATGCAGAATTATTAATAGACGTATTTATCTACCCATAAACCGAAGTTATTCTGATACATGCAATTCATCTCAAGTCGTTCTACACTGAAAAATCTAAATCAACCCCAAGATAAAAATAACGAGATAATTTATTGTAACTATGTAATGAGATGAAAATTCGATAACTGAAGTATTTATGAAAAAAATAATTAAAAACAAAAAGTTTGAAATAACGGAAATAATGTTACACAAAAATCAGAAGTGTGGTTATAATACACACATAATTATAGTTTATTATTTTTACTCCAAAAAGGGGAGCAGGAACAGTTAATGACCGTTGAATATCAAAACCTTCAGTAATGCCATATATTATTATAGACCTCTCGTATTTCCATCACGTAAACGACCTATTTTTAACAACCTACTCTTCGCAACCCACTTGTTAATAACGCAAGCAATTTACGAGGCGCTCTTCTACGTTAAGAAAATTTGTGATGTACGCAATGCTCTGGAGGATATTCTTTCCTCGATAGAGTAGAATTAAAATTAATTTATAATATATATATATATATATATAGAAATAAAAATTACATGAATATACCCATATAGCATCAGTAGCATTTGATGGAGACGATGGAGAAATTTCAAAAATTCACAATGAAAGTCTAGAAAAAAATAGACTGATATTCTTGTAAAATATAATTAATTTAAATATATTAAGTAATCAATGAACGATTTTATATAAAATCATACATTAATTTTTCCAAAATTATAAATTAATGTTTAATAATCGTAATACGTTATAATTAGATTCTCAAGAGTAAATTCTCAAAAACGATAATTTTTCATTTGTTTTCTAATTATAAATCAGTATATTATATTGAGGGTATTTTTTCACTAATGGGTATATTTTTTTATCACTGCCTTCTAAATCTTATTGACAATGGCCGAATAACTTTTGCATCAAATGAAATAACTTGATTTCACAAAGAGTAGAGTGAATCAAAGAAAAAAATGTTTATGAGTAAAAGAAACACGATATCCATTGAAAGATGAAACTTATTTCTGTTTCAGTGGATATTGACAAATAAATGTCAAGGGTACAAAGAAATTTTCCAGGAATACTATTCCGAGAATAATTGGAATATTTTGCGAATTTATTTAAAATTAAAATAACCCACGTGCAATCACTTTTATATAATAAACTAATTAGCTAATTAGATGATTTTGAAACGTGAAGGTATGAAATATCATATGTTCATATATTTTTTCCTATAAAATATTTACACTTTTTTATCATTCTTGTTATGTTTTAATGGAGTTCTACTTTTTTTTTGTTCTTTCAACCACTCTCTTTTGTATGAATTTACGTCAGGAAAAAAATAATATCAATTATGATTACAAATTGGACAATTATATAAATTTAATTAGCAAACTTCAAAATTACACAATTTTACGAACGCAGAATAATTATATACGGTCTCGTGTGGACGGGGTGTCACCAGTTCAAGCCCCCGCTCTAGTAACCTGATATCGTGCAGCAGCAATGTTTATTTTCAATGAAAAATATAAATGACAAAATGAAAGTAACCGATTTCGGACACTGTGGTGTAAATGGGCAATAGCAAATTTTTCACACTATTCTATCCAGAATCGAGTTGGAGTTTAACCCAGCTCTCGGACCTGCCCTAGACCAATACTACTCACTATAATTTAAATATATATATATATATATAATATATATATATATATCTTTGTGTGCATATTAAATGTCTAAATACCATATTCCACATCTCTCTAAGCAATTATGGAAATACTGGCAATATCACACCATACAGCTTTAATTCTCATTAATTTGTTATGAGAGTCCTGCGGCGACGAACTGAAGTTTACGACACTTTTTATGTCTCATATGAAATAATATATAATTCTTTTGTTGTTTTGGTAGACGAATACACTCAGACTACATTTCTCCCTGTAATCGCTCTAAATTGATCAATAACTTAATGATAAAAGCTACTTCAATACCTTTGAAATTGCTTTTGTGTTTGTACTTCAATTTTTTTTCTAAAAATAGTTTGACGCAAATAGATTGTCCGTTTTATAGCTTCTATTATTCTGCTACCAACGCAATTGCAGTAAGTTTTCATAAGCTGAATATATTTTATAATGTTTTGCACGTGTATAATGAAATGAAAATAATGAAAAATGCAGGAAATATTTTTGCGTGGTATATGCATAGATTTGATTAATTGATTCATATAGCATTATTAGGATATTTAATTAAAATTTGAATTTATGATTTATGTCAAGATTATAAAATCACAAAATTGCTGTACATATTGCATTAAAATGGAGCTTGGGAAAACGACTTTTGAAAAATTATAATCTTATTATATATATATATATATATATATATATATATACATATATATATGTATATATATATATTCATAAAAGAATTCTGCCTTTTCCACGAGTTTTCTCATGCGTTAAGATAAATTGCCAAGCGTTGTACAATATTTTCTGCACGTGCCAACTACACAGTTTTGTATGTAAGTTTAAGATGTAGAATTCATTTAATTTAAAATGTTCTAATGAGCATTTAATTTTTTAATGTTAAGTTAAAAAAATAGAGATTAAAAAATGTCATAGAATTTCAACCAGATTTTAAAAAAGTATACTTGTGATTATTAATTAATATACATTTGATTTATCTGTCTGAATAGTTTTCAAATGCTTCCAAATAATAAATTTAACATAACTAATAATATATATGTAATTGCTCCTAATATTAGGTTGTCAAATATCTCTCTTCCGCTTTTTTGCTCTTGGTTTATAATACAAAAAGGCGGAAGGGAGATATTTGACAACCTTATACATCAAAGTAGATGATAAACAATATCTTGGTATTTGTTCTAAGTTACTATTCATAAAACGTTCAAATAATTTTACTCGGAATGAAAAGAAATTTAAAAAATCACAATAAAACCCAGTAATAGCGTACACAATTAAAATTTTGAAAAGTTTGTTTGAAATAGATTATTTAGTATTATTTGCTCACTCGAATAAAATGCAGCAAAATATTTTTCATGTAATTTTATACTACTATACTGACTGAATTACAAATTTAGGTTATATAAATTGAAACACAATATATGAGGTATAATGAAAAATATAAATTGGCTTCATTATTTTATGTTTTATGAAAAATATTTTGTTCATAAAAAATCCGGGTAAAAAATATAAATTTGACTAATTACAATATATCCAACATATCATAATTGCAGGGAATTTGAAATGATTTGGTAGAATACACACCCATTATTCTACAATATAAAATATTTTTCATTTGTTCTATTTTGTATAGACTTAGAAATTTACGCTAAAACTAATAAAGTATATATTGCAAACGTCTTGCAAATAACCTCTTAATAATTCAGAACTGTCGATTTACTTACGAGAAGCTTTTGAGATCATTCATTAATACAAAGTAATTTGTACACATATTTTTAGGAACCAATTAATGTATTGATTTTGTAATTGGACTATTATACTACGAAATAATAAATAATTAAATTCAGAACTATGAAATTCAGAGCTCTGAAAATATAAAAATGAATCGCAAAATGTGTTGGTAAGCGCATAACTCAACAACGCCTGGGCCAATTTCCCCAATTCTTTTTTTTAAATGTTCGTTAAAGTCCAAGGATGGTTCTTACGGCGAGAATATATCGAATAATTGCGCGAAAACCCTAAAAACAGCCCTTTCCTTTTTCTCATACAAATGTTTTTCTAACTAAAACGTAGAATCAATTTGAGCTTTATTGCTATTATATAAAGTTAATATTAAATTACAAGCACTCACTGTGTACTCCGGATATTCGAATTTTGATAAATCTTTCTGAAGTTTGTTAAGAAAATTTCCTAGGATGTATGTGATTATAAAGTACTGGGATGTATGTGCAATATTGTAAAAATAAATGGAAAAAAATGCAAAAAACGACATGTCATTGTTTGTATTGAAAATAAATGAAACTATAATCTGACAAAAGTTTAGATTTACTCATAAACCTAGACAATATTAGAATATGTATAATAAATTTTGATTATGAATAAGAAAAATGAAATGTATACATTATTATTGCCAAAAAGCAGCTGAGATATGCCAGAAATTAAAATAATATGAAATATAGTATATGTATGGCAGATTGAATGATACACATATGAACAGGATATGAGAAAGCAATTATTATTTGTAGGTAAACGGTGAAGATTAGTATATTATATTAAAAAATTGTAGACATGGGTACAGGACAACGTCTGTCGGGTCATCTATATTATATAAAAGTTTGACAGATAATCTCTGTTATGAGATTTTTTTAACTGCAAGAGTAAATTGTAAATCGCTTATAATAACAGTTGCTCATAAAATCATCGTTTGATAATACAAGGACGGGCATAATATTATACGTAATAATACATAATAGCATTCAGAAATTTAAAAGTACCTACACTGTATAAAAGTTTTTATACTCTAGTTATAAGAACTTATTTCCAAATTGTAAGAGTTAATTGTAAATCGCTTATTACAACTGAAGCTTATAATAATATCATCGTTTGATAGTTCAAAGTCAGTATATTCATGAATATACAGAATGTTTTATTACGGTTTTGTATATTGTAAATTAAATATCAACGTGATTGATAGTATGTGCATGTTAATGAAACAAAGCCAGACGTACTTATGGTTAAACCACAATATTTAACACAATATTCAAAACCTTAGGCCAGTATTTATATAGTCCAAGAAACTAGCAATGATACAAAACACTACTAATCGCCTTCTATACCACCCATGTAAAGCAATAAACTTAATCAACGATGTCTAACTCAATTATCTTATTCCCGTAGACCATGGCACCGCCGACACTGAAGTCTTCGCTGTGGAAACGCGAGGCGCCGGCGGACGACGATACGGGTGAGACGGAGTCACCATTCAGTTCCTCCACATCATACCCCGATGCGGGTGACGCCCTTCCCAGCACCATTCCACCACCGCGCATATTCAACAAACACTTCAGCCGACACCCAACCGAGACACCGGCCACACTGATCGGTAACGTAACGAAATGGAACCAGGACCGATTTCTCTTTTTTGACGTCTTTTATTTCTTCTATTTTCTATCTATTCAAAACGTTAATAGTCAGAAGTCTGAAGGTGGAAGTCAATTTTTTAGACATGCTGGTCATTTAGGTTGAATTAAGGTTTTTTCTAGTGGTAAAATCTTGTCATAAACGTGATAAAAAATTTCCTCTTAGTAAAACAAAAAATTCCAATTAAATGCCATCACCTCGTAAAGTTATAGTTATAAATATTTAAATTAGAAGAACGAATCAGATTACAGGCACATCTAAGAGTATTTGAATTTTTGGCTAATGGTACTCATTCATTCAAATGCTAGTCTGATTTCAATCTTTTTTTAGTTAGGTCGTTATAATAATTATTATTAGTCGGCAGTTAGTAGGGAATTATTAGTAACAATTGTAATCAAAATTTGATTTGTGTTTGTCACCATTTTGTTAGGTCAAAAATTTTAATAATTTATCAATTAGAACACAAATCACATAGATTGGCATAAAATGCTAGATTAGGTTTTGCTAATAAAATTAATGTTTATTCGCTAATGTGTTTTTAATTCCAATATAAGTCTAATTATTGTAAAATAATAAAAAATTTATATAAAAGTTTGTAAATTCCAAATAAAAGCGCTTGACAGGGACTTGAAAATTAAATTCAATTTAGCATAAAAATAATTTTATTAAGAGGCACAACTAGTGTGAAATTTTCAAAAAATCGAATTTTCAATTTTTCTATATTTCAACAGGTTATACCTTTAAAAATAACATATCAAAATTTTAAATCGATATCTTAAATAGTTTTTGAGTTACAGACATTTAAAGAGTATAAATACGATCAATTAATCTTTAAACGCGTTTTTCTCGAAACAGCATTTTCCGAATTTGCTGCAGCGATTACTCAAAAACAAATGATCCGATCACTATCAATTTTCTTTACATGTTCTTTATATAGTTCTCCGTAAAATGAACTATCGATTTTTTGATCGGATCAAAAATCGAATTTTGACAGTCCAGAAACGACGAAAATTTTGGGTAAAATTCGACTTTTTTTTAAAAACGGTGTCATTTTGTCAATTTTTTATTTTTTCTTTATCGTAGTTCATTCTACAGACGAGATTTTTTTTCATTTCATCCACGTAGAAGGCCGGAATCACTTCAGCAGTGAAGGGCCTTTTTTTGTCGCGCCGTTGGAGATCGACGATAACTTAAAAAATAATTAATTTTTTTCTTCAAAAATTATGTATTCTTAAAACATATATAAATATATTCCTAAAATTTTGAAATGATTGATGAAGTAGTTTTTATAATATAAATTCCCAAAAATCACCTTTTTTTAGGCGGTTACACTAGTTGTGCCCTTTAAATTTCATAATTTAATGATTCTGTGCTTAGATATGTTATCTCAACTGGATAACCAGATTTAGATCATTAATAGCTTTCAGTAATTTAAATCGGAAACTGCTATTAATATGAAATATTATTTTAGAATAGTTTAACGTATTCAAAAAATGACCAGCATGTTTTAAAAATATACTCCCTACTAGATTTCTGACCAATTTCTGAGAATTTTATCAGAAGAATTTCCACTCTTTGCAAAATGTTTAATCTCATTACTTGAAACCGTTCTACGTTTGTTGTTTGTGTTTTAAATGTCGAAAGAATATATTCAAGAATATAAAGAGCTGTGCAATGGTGAAATTTTTATTTGAAAGAAATTGTTATTCTTTTTTCTAAGCCCTTGACGATTTTACTATTTTTCATATTCTAAAAAAGAACCTTATAGGAATGAAACTTAAAACGTTTAGTTTATCTACAAACAAAAATTATTTTATATTTGTGTATTTGTAATTCAAAATTTTTAAATAAATTAACTATACAATTATAATCAGATATTTTCAAGAGTAAACGATCACCATGGTGCAGATATCAAATTTTTCGACGTTTTTTTATGTTGAATGTTGTACAACAACGATGTATATAAACATTTACAAAGTATACCAAAACTAATTTAAAGTTGAAACCTAAATTTTATGTTAACACAAAGAAAAAAATATAAACTACACTCCGTACAAAAGTAATTTTATATTCTATGAAAGGAGATAATTCAGCACGTTGAATTATGCTAATGTGATAATGTAGGGTTTTGCTCGAAAAACGTATAACGTATTGCTTCGCTGTTTTGCTAGATTGTTATGAATTATCTGCCTTTTGTTCGTAATCTCCTTTAATCTTTCTAACTTTTGCATAAATCTCACACATAAACACTTTACATGCACACAAATCATTCATAATTCATACATTGCATTCATCAAGTTGCAGCAACTCATTATTTATACAAACCATGTACTTGGAAGAAGTGGATAAGTGTATCGTTTTAAATATTTACATCTGAAGCATGGAAAGATCAACTTTTATTTGGAATGAAAAAATGATCAGAGAAAATAGACATTTTTCTCTCGAATGTATGCAAAGTGATGCAATGGAAACAATTTAGTACAAAATTGTGCTTCCTATATACACTAAATAATGTAAATTTAGTTTTTGAATTTTCACGTACGCTTGGAGTTATTCTTCATACATATATGCTTAATAATTACATCATAAATTTTAGAATATTTAAATTATTAATCTGAATTTTCTAATTAATATTATTAATTAATTACGGCATCCATGCATCTCTAGATATTTCTTTCACAAGGCGTGGCAATGCTTCAGTATAAGCTTGCGCTGAAGACTGCACTACAATTGAATGAAAACCATTATTTACCTAAATGCATGTATTATTAAATATGTAATTTTGATTCAAAATTATTTATAAATTATTGATTTTATATAATAGATACATTCGACGATTCGAGTAGTATAGCACCTACAAAATCAACAGCAGAAGATGTCGGCGATCAGGCGATACAAATCACAAAACAGTTAGCAGAAGATATGGGAATTTCGACATGGGTTTTAGTAACAATAATTATAGGTAAATTTTATAATAATAATAATAATATATATATATATATATATATATATATATATATAAATGAAATTGTATAATCACGTTGACTATCAATCGGACAACATGTTGTTTGTATAGCCCCAAGTGGTAAGCGTTGGTAACCCTTAGAATGCTTTTTTTACATTCAGAGACCATTTTTAAATGGTATTATAATCTGTAATTAAGACATATACACCACAAATCTCTATTTCAAATTAGTCATTTCAGTAGTCCAACCATTTTTTATCTAGCTTGATAGCTGATAAATTATATCGCCTTTTTGTCAACGTTTTTCATTAAACTTTGATCCAAACTATTTTAGTCCATTTTCAAAAAAAAAAGTCATATATTGGCGACAGAAAGCTTGCCATCGAGCAAACTAGATGCTTCAAATTATTGATCGTTTCTTGCATTATCGGATTCTCAGAAATATTCCATTGTACAAATATTTCCCTGTGTGTAAACGATTGACTAATTCAAAAATAAATGTTTGAATTTTGCTTTGTAATTTAATTTGTAATAATATTTCAAACCTTCAATTTTTATAAAACACTAAATATAGCTCTGTTTTTATTATTATTTGATCATGAATAAATAATAGCTCTCAAATTTTTGCATTTGCGAGATGTTGCAGAAGCAGCCTTTGTGTCTTTAATTTCTGTTTATAATACACTTTTCAAACTTCTGCTGTCATTGTCTATATATACCATTATCTTAGCTTCTGAACTCCATTATCTTGTTTTTCTTTGTTAGATGTCATTGATTTGCATACTTTTTCATCGCATTTTTAAAATATCTTTTCTTTATATTCAATGTGAACCATTTCGCTTCGGAAAATCTTTATATAATCGAGAACTCTTTCATTAATTCTTCTTTTTCTGTTAAGAAATTTTCACTTTTTTTTATTAACAGCTCCTCTTTTTTCAAAGCCGTTTTTAAATTTTCTCCCATAATTTTGTTTCAATATTGTTAGATTAAATAATACTTATTACAATTTATATGGTTGCTTTTAAATATTTTCAATTTATAAACATTTTCCTTTATGTCCTACAAACAATCATCAAGCGCTCCATCGTTTTATTGTTATAACGTTATAAAGTATGACCAAAGCTGCTTTACGATCTAATAAAAAGCATTCATATTTCGATTGAAAATATAGAGATTAAGGAAAATCACGACCATAACAATATTTTTTTATTTCACATAAAAATAAAAATTATTTCATAGATCATTACTCAAAAATTACTTATTTTTCCAGGAGTATGTCTCGTAATATTAGGGATATGTTTCTGCTGCATTCGAAGATTTTTCCGCAAACGACGAGGAAAAGATGGAAAAGGAAAAGGGATGAAAGGAGTCGACCTCAAATCTGTACAGCTGTTAGGGTCAGCGTATAAAGAAAAGGTCAGTTTGCTTGATAAATTGTGAAAAATTGCATTAGAAAAGACACGTAGCGAATTAGAAAAGTATGCGCACCATCACGTAGAAATATATAATCAGTTATGTAGAAGTTTGACATTTTGTTCATTCTTGTGATGTTAAAGCTGTTAGCGTTGTTTTGACATTATGACATATAGATTCTATAATAAATTTACCTTTGGATTTTAATCCCTTATAGTATAAATTCTTTTAAGGTGATACATGAAATAAAAAGTCAAAGATTTATAGAATAATGTTGAATATTCCATACATTTTAAAATAATATCATTTCATACAATCACCATCAGTGACATATTAGATCAGTGATATATTAAAACCCTTTCCACTCAAATGCCGCCACTCCGACGACAAAGTCCATATTAATCTCAGAATTAGCGAGTGGAAGAGGTTAAAAATCAATTTATGTGCAAATTAAATTAAATAAATCAATAAGTAGTGCAACACAAATCATGCACTTATATAAAATACAAGATTTGATATCAATGTCTTATGCCACTCATGATAACTAAATAATATGTCGAAACGTTTATATCATTAAAGATTATTCTATAAATCTTCAACTTTTCATTAAATGTACTGCCTCAAAACGATTTGTTCATATATTTATCAAAGACACGTTATGAAATTGTTATGTTTATGAAAACGTTTCACTCAATACCACATGTTTCATTCCAACTATAAAAAGTTCGAAAGAGATACCAATTTGTAATAAATAGAGGAAAATTTATTTATTTATTTATTCATTTTATAAGCCGTCGGTATAATAATATTATAATAAAGTTCAAGTCAATATTTTACCGGTTTAATGTAATTTAATTAACTATTGGCTATTTTATTACTTATTTATTTTTTATTAAATTTATTTACTATAAACTTATATATATATATATTTAGTTAATTTTAATTATTTTTAAATATAACTAGTTTGTTTGTTGCAAGTATTTTTTAAAAATTTAATAAGTATTTTAATAAGCTTTGCAATATTTTTACAATATAATTATTTTATTTAACAAATTTTAGGTTATTTTATGATATTTTAACAAATTTAAGTGTCTTATATTATTATTATTATTATTATTATTATTATTATCATTATTATTATTATTATTAAGTTTTTTACAATATAAGTATTTTCTTTTACAAATTTTTAGGTATTTTGATGAAAAAAAATATTTTGTTTCACAAGAAATATTTTGTTTTGCAACAATTATTTTGTTATTGATTAAAACGTTATAAAAAGTTAATAATTTTATATTTAACAAACCACAATTAGCCTCAATCGTATTGAAGTATTTTCAAAATATGCACTAAAGATCATAGTATTTTCGTTTCTTACCCCAATTGGTTAATACAAATGCAGATTGAATTAGTTATTTAAGATTTTATAACTATGAATCACTATTCCAGAAACTTACACGAATTAATTACCACAGCTTATTAATTTGGAAAAGTTTCCATCAATTTTATCATAAAAGCATGGTAGTGTTTTTGTTATTAAAATATATATACTACTATATATAATGTAATATTTCCTAAAGTAGTTTATAATGAAATTATCTAACATACCATCTTCCACGTTACGTTAAATTTATAATTGTATATAAAAGCAGTCTTAATTAATCATTTAAGATTAATTAATAGGAACATGAAAAATTTAAAAACAAGATATGATATATTTTTTTAGTTGCGTTACTAATTATTATTTGAATAACTTTTTCTAATCAAGAAAGTTTTCTGAATTATAGAGTTACAGAAATAAGTCGCTAAAAGCATTTGTGTATAAACATTTTTACCGCTAACCGCTTGGATAACGCAAGTTTATTTTTAAATTATTTCATTTTTAAAAATGAATTATATTAATAATCACGATTAATTATGAATGAAAATTTCTGTAATTTTATATAAGACTACAATTGCATCATTTTCGTAATTTTATATAAGATTACAAATAATATTTTTTCAAAAGCGAATTTGGAATAATGAAAAATATTAAAATTTAAATAATAATAATTAAAAATATAAAATATTTGGAATAATAAAGTATTTTATTATCGCGTGTAAATATTTCATTTATAATAACTTTATCTTATTGCTCGTGTCTTGAGAATGTGAAGGCAACCTTTTGGGACAATTTTGTAGTGTTATTTGTGTGACCCGTTTGCGCACGTTACAGGTTCAGCCGGACACTGAAGAGCTCACGGAAAACATCGAGGAACCCGATGAAGACAAACCGGCCGAAATCAAATTAGGAAAACTCAACTTCAAGGTAAAAGACTCATAATAAAATAATAATCTTTATATTAAATTATTGATTTTATTTGCTTTTGGTTGTATACGGTCATGAAAACAGTCTATATTTATTGATTCCTATATACGAAATCATAATAAATTGATGATACTTTTATGAAACTGAAAATAATATTATTGTTAGGAATATATAGAAAATGGAAATAGTATTGTAGGAATATATAGAAAAAAGATTACTGATGACAAATAAATAAACTCGTTGTATTGTTATTTTGCCTTAAGGCAAGTTGCATGAACTTCCCGATATGTGTAAATAATCAACTTAGTCAACAAAAAATAAATTAATTTATGAGTGATTAAAAGTATTCCGAGTGGATTCATTACACATAACTGAAAACGAACGAACACGTTAACTCGGAGTATTTTCTAAAAGCAAATTGTCAAAAACCAACAATTTTTATAATTGAACCAGTTTTCGTAGTACCAAGTACTCTATCATTATACCACGTAAATCGTGTAATTTTAATTTTAGCTAACGTCAAAAAAATTACTCGTTTTCTCAAACTCTGATGCATTTTTTAAATTAAACTTCTTGTCGTAAGGCCGTAATATTTCAGTAAGTTCTATAAGACCATGATATATATGGACAAAAAATGTTCCATAAAAATCGGCTTAAATATGTTTTTCAACAGTTAATTGCAAAAAAACGGCTCGGTAGATTTTCACCTAAAACTAATCATTATCATTCCCAACTAATATCTTTGGAACAGTTTTTGATTTTTTAAAATCGATGCGGTAGTATGGGCAAATTTGGTCTCATTCGATTCAGAATGGCTTGAAACGGCAAGAAAACAAAACTAGCGGATTTTTTTAATGAAAACATAAACTTCGGGAAGAATCATTAAAATAATTTAATATTTTAGTCTTTCTACGTACTCACTACCAAAAACATCTATAGCCAAGTATAATATTCTCGAGTGAAGGTTTGATGTTTATATATGCATTAAGAGTTTTAAACAGAGAATTTTTTTTTAATTTCTTTGCAAATATAGTTTCGACTATAGTTCTGAACTTCATTCAGCGGAAAAACTTGTTTAGTTTAATATAAATAGTAAAGAGTATGTGTGCAATGGGTAGACTAAGTAAAAACTTAAATAGTATATGATTGAAATGGGAAAGTTAATCTTTGGCAAATATTGTAAATTTATACTATTAAAAAATTCTAATAATTTAATTACAGAGTATAGTGTCATGGAATATTGTTGTTTGCGTTTGTAATATTAGGAAAAGCAAATATTCCACCTGAAGTTTAGAGTTATAGCTGAAACGTATGGATTTTGAATTAAATTTTAAAAAATCATATCTTTTATTGATATTGATCTTATGTTTAATTGATATATAAATTAAAAAAATCGTGTTTTTTATTGATATTGTGCTCGACTGTTAACCTCTAATAATGCAGATGTCAATATCGAGTTCAAATCATTAACATATCGATGTATTTCCTAGAATGTGTAACTAATCAAAATACCTTAAAAATCGTTAAAATGATGACTAGAAACGTAATCAATTTAATATTGCCAAATAAAATCAAATGACAAATTATTAACATATGCATATATGAATATGTGTGGCAATGATAGATGAACAAGTATAAATGATGGTAATCAATCAATTTTATATCTTTATATTTTTGCGTTTTATTTGCGTTTCTGTTTGTTAATTGTTGATTGAGCTGAACAAATTACTCACTCGTAAAGTGTAAATTCAAGTGCCTGTATTATTTGTACAATGATGACAGTAGAAGTATTTTTTAAATATATGACTCAATACAATTTTAATTTACTGTAGATATATATATATAATATAATATATATATATATATATATATATATACATTTTCCAATATTTATTTGGAGTATATACCGATTCGCACAATGACGTCAAACAACCATGACCATCGGGTACCACAGTCACGTTACGTTTCACATACAAACTGAGATAAAGAACTAATCTTGAACTTTTATTAGTTATAAAAATAGTCCATAAACTTCCACAACACAATTCACCACAAAGCATGAATTAGCTAATTAGAACGACGACGTAAATAAATACGTGTTTTTGGATTAGTTCCAGAGGATATTAACGCGTTTCTACGAATTGTATTATCGAAAAAAGTGTATTTTTTTAGTTAAAGAGAAACTATTAATGTCTATTGAATCTAAATTAGCCTCATCGGATAATACAAAGTCAATATCAAACTTTATAATCAAAATAACCCAACAATAAATAAATAATAAATGGTGATGATAAATATCGAATACAGTTTTGGTTATTAAAATAATGGTGATTTAGTTAGTTTCGAAACATCCAACAACTAGTTTATAAGAATACATATTCGTGTGTATAATAAGATCTGAAGTTCAATATTAATTAAAGAATTTTTTAGTAATCTCAATCTTCCCAATAATTTGTACATTTTCCTAATCAATTCCAAGAACTACTTGGAACTACTTGGAACTATTTAGAACTATCAGTACTGCAGAATTATAAAAATATTTCTATAACGCAATAGAGATTGCTAATTCATTTCACCTTTAACATAAAGGATATCTAATATACAAGTTACAATAATGCACAAATTATAATCAAAACTATTTAAGGGTTTAAAAAGCTTGAAAATCGGTTTGGAATGAATTTTGTAACCTACTCCAATTTCTCTATATATGCTTTTCTTTAAATTTTTCAAATTTATTACAAGTTTATTTAGAAATATATGTTGTAAACTGCTTATTACAAATTTATCACTTTTTTACACAAAGCAAGAGTATATTTAATTTGAATTAATTTTACTTAATGAAGTAATGATGATAAACACCTTAGTTTCGGAACATACAACTAATGTATAAGTATACATATGGCTATGTATAAATAAGACCAGACGTACAAAATTAATTTTGCATATAAAAGTATTCTTTATTAATCTTAATGTCACACATTTTGTGTGCCCAATTGTGTGCCCACATGCCCAATTGCTACTTGAAACTATATCGAACAATCCTAATGCTAAAATTGGCCACTGAAGAATTATTAATACATTTGACGTTGCTAATTTAGTTCACTTTTAATATCTTGAATGTTATTAATTATTTATGCTCAAGTCTGCATACACATAGCACTTAAATTTTCTTAAATTATCGTACAGTTAAAGTTTAGTACACGTTAAGAATCAAATATCAACACACAAGCCCAAAATCGATAAACGAAATGCGCACTGGCTATTCTATAAATAGTGTTAGAATAATTTACATATTCGGCTGCTTATCCATTCAACCCCGATGAAATGCTGGAATAAACCCCGAACTATGATCTCTGTGGGGGTCAAAATAATCAACTTGGTCCAATAATATAATAATCACATAAAATAAGGTAACGATAGCATTTTTATATCATGGAACTATGGGTGTAATTCTGCTTGTTTTTCTTTCTATAGATTGGGATGGTGCGGATTACTATTGTATTACAAGCAATAATTTCTGTATCATTAAATATCAACTTAATTACTCATAAAACAGTTGATGAAACACATCAACAAGAATCATTAATATATTTCTTATTAATAATTTATTTAACGACGATCGCCTACATATTTTTAATAAATGAGAAGTTATATTAGTCTAAATAAAACCTGAACAATGCGACAGCATTCATTGTTAAGTAAAAAATAATGAGGTCTGAAAATGCTTGGAAACGCGCAAACTTGTGAAAAATCGTCGCTAAAGGTAACGTTGGGGTCCAGTATACCCCAGGATTTTGATAAGATTTAAAAAAGGACTACATTATGTATTTTTTTAATAATTTTTCCATACATTTTAAGTTTAAGTTTTTCACTCTTTTGTAGTTAATTAAACCATCAAAATATTTTGAATAAAAAACCTAAAACCACTTCAGTAATTTTTATACGTTTTGAGTCTCAGTTTGACTCTTTTTCGGTGGATAGAACAGAAAAATTCCAAATTATTATAAATAACACAAAAACTGTTAAAATTAATACAAGACCTGATCAATTGTCTTATTTATAAAATAGAAATAATTAATTAATTTAAAAATTAAACAAAAATTAAGTATAACCATCATGTTGAGTTATGTAAAACTGATAAATTATAAAAATATTTTTTTATATGATTCTATTTCATATATATGGTAATTATAAAAGCCTTTTTTATATGATTCTATTTCATATACATGGTAATTATAAAAGCCTTATATCCTGTGTCTGTTTTTTTTAATAATTTGTGCGTTTTATCACTGAATATGAGTCAAATTGGGAACCGAAACATATGGAAGTGCAATAAATATCAACATTTTTTGAAATATGATTTAATTTTTTATTACCTACATAGATGCCTTTAATTAAAGATATTTGTTTTTATTTATACACGACTAGAAACCTCAAAAAAGTTCCAAAATATAGAGTGTAGTGTTCTGTTATTTACATAATTAATTTTCGTTTCACTCATAATACAAAAATCTACTAAAATAAAATATATCGAGATTAAGAATAATGTATAATAATTCAGCTGTTCGAACCAGGAAAAATACCCAAGTTATATTTATCACAAAGTTATTGAATAATATATAAAACCCGTGTAATATACAAATGTCTGAGATTTAAAATTATATTATTATCATCATTACGTTAACACAATTTATAAGATCCTTCTACATTTCATTAATTTTATATAAGGTTGATTACCAAAAGCTGCATTAATTTGAATGATAAATATATTTTCAACCATTTTTATTTTTATTTGTAATTTTCTGTTACATTTTTATTCCGCTTCATAAATCTCATGAAAAATTAATTTGATAAGGTCCTCAGTAACGTAATTTATTTGCAGAGGTTACTTGAATAAACACGTTCTTGTTTTGATAGCGCTTAGGTTGAGGAAAATTAATTAAATGATAATGCTGTCATAAATGATAATTTTTTGGAATAAATTGGCGAAATGATCAATTATAAATAAAATTATTTGCTACTGAAATTATTAACTCGAATCAATTTTTGGTTCGTTAAGATATGAGGTGAACGTTTCGTTTTGTAGCCCAAGATGTTAAAAAAAATTATGTAAAATTTTATAAAGAATTAGCAAGAATTCTTGCAAAGAATAAAGCAAGTCGATAATTTCATATATTATAAGGAATTTGTAATAAGCAAGTAGAATATAAATATGTTTACGTGTGTCATTTACAATCAACAGCTTCATTAAAAATACGTATTTACAAACATTTAATGAAGGTTACAGGCAACAAGGTCTGAAAACATCTTAATTAACTGAATCGAATAAATCAATTTAATTAATGAGATCATTATTTCTTAATTGAACAGTTGGAGTACGACTTCAACTCAAACTCCTTAGCTGTGACCGTAATACAAGCCGAAGAGTTGCCCGCGCTAGATATGGGAGGCACATCCGACCCCTATGTCAAGGTCTATTTGCTGCCAGACAAAAAGAAGAAATTCGAAACCAAGGTCCATCGGAAGACCTTGAGTCCTGTCTTCAATGAGACTTTCACATTTAAGGTCAGTATCAATTGCAACTCTTGCACTTTCCCGGCGGAAAAACAAGTGATATGTTTTGCGAAGGTGTTGTTTACTGGATTGTTTCTAGAACAAGGAAAAGCACTGAGAGAAGTTTATTTAACGGAAACGTGATTGAATTTACTTAGTACTCATGGTAGAAAAACAAGACAAAGTGTTCTTTTGAGTGTAATTTTTTTAGTTTCAATTTAAAGTTTCAATTCACGTTCGAATTCCCTTGAAAAACGCAAATTCATCTTTATTATCTCTTCAACACATTTCATTTGATATAATGAGAATATACCATATTTCAATTAAAATAATATATATTTTACTGACAAAAATATTATAATAAGATTATAATATTTTAGAAATATAATAATAGAAATATTACAATAAGATTATAGAATTATTGTATAAATAATTATAATATGTACTTCAATCTGCCAGTTGTGGAACATTTTAAATATTCAAATAGTTTCAATATCAACAAAGAGATTACAATTACAATTGCAACTGCAATATACCGATTTACCAATTTTAGCTGAAATTATTTTAAAAAAATTATTGAAAAAAATATTGATATTTAAATATGTCAAAAAATGTGAAAGATTCGCAGTTTTCAAATAAATATAGAACAAATTCTAATTGCAATTGTAATTTAAGATTTTACCAAATTTTGATATCTAATTTTCTATACATTAATCAAATTTATCAAGTTTACTTAGAATACATATTTAGTTGAGAATTTTAGACACCATTCATTTTTTTCTTTTGACGAAAGCATTTGGAAAGCTAGCTGAAAACTAGTTCAAGCTTTATTCAAGCTTTATTAGGAGCTTTAGTATGCTTTTAATTTTAACTTCTAATATGAGCAAGATAGTTGCAAAACCAAGTTCACATTTTCGTATTATAATAAGGAAAAATTTAGCAACAAATGCAATAATTTGGCTATACTTTAACTATCAACGGACAGTTATCGACATGACAATATATAAATGCCATAAATGCTGAATTTGGAAAATTAATGAAGAATGAACTTCATTTTAATCTCACCCTAGTATCGTCGTAGATGAGTTTTCTCAAACATAATTTCAAGGAAAATCGCCAGTCGTGGGCATTGCTGCAACGCGATACGCCAACACTATTAGATATACAAATCTAATATATAGATATAAAAAAGAGTAATAAGCGCAGGATAGCCTTTTGAGAAAACTTTGGTTAGAAGAGGAGATGGATATAGACAGAGCTCAATAGAAGCTCAAGAGAGCTCATAGAACACATGTTTCTAATCCTATAATAAGTTATAATAAAAAATCAAAAATGATTTTTTTATATCTTACGTTTCAAAGGTCTGAACATTTTGGCCTTCATTAGAAAAATTTGATGAATGTGTGTGTATGTATGTATGTGTGTATGTGCGTGCGGATACATATTTTTGTCGACAATTTTGGGAACTTGGATCAACCGATTTGAATGATTCAAAGAACTTTTCAAAATGTATATAATCTCATCTTAGGAGTGTTTCTCCTAAAGATATGTTATATGTTGATTGAGATATGGAGAGACGTTAAACCTTTTTTATAAAATTGAAATATTACCGATTTTACCAATTTTGGTACCAGCAATTTGCCTTGACACGATGCCACTAGTTGATTTTGTAGAATTCATTAAACGACTATCTTCAATATATATTATTTATTTCCCCAGGGCGTTCCATACGCGGACGCAATGAACAAAACTCTAGTCTTTGCGATATTTGACTTCGATCGGTTCAGCAAACACGACCAAATCGGCGAAGTTAAGGTTCCTCTGTGTCAAGTGGATTTGGCGCAAACCATCGAGGAATGGCGCGAATTGCAGAGCGTCGAAGGCGAAGGCGGACAGGTATGACCGATGACCAAAATATTACCTCCAAAAGCAGGTAACATAGGGAAATTTAAAGGAAATATTATGGAAGATTTATACTTTTATAAAACAGACATCCGGGAAATAATGATTGAATAGAATTATATGTTTTTATGATCGGGGTTTTAAATTTTTCCTTTGATTATCGTAATTTAGGAACCAGTTCTCGGATGAAATAACTGTGTTATGTTACAGATTTCTTTTGTTGAATAATTGTTTGATTTGGTAGTCACGAACTTTCAAAAAGGTATGTTTTTGCTGTTAGATCAATTGTTTTACACTATATCTACTTCAAACATCAAACCTCTAACATTCACAAAAGTCAGAATATAACATTAGTTTGACATCAAGCATGTGTTACCTGAAATGACAACAAACAGTTGCAGTTGTGATAACATTGTTATTTGATATTTGAGCCATTTGGAGGTTAGGTTTTAGAAATATATATAGCACAATTGAACAGCAAATATATAGCGTTTTGGCAGTTTGTGACTACCAATTGAAGCACTTTTTTACCAAAAGAGACCGTTTACAGAACATAACTATTTTGTTCTGAAATTTGGCCTCTGAATTTTTTTTTTTTGTGTATATACGAATTCCTGATTATATTCCGTTCATTTGAAAGAGCAATATGATAATTGATAAAGAATCTTGATAATATTTTTCGAGATGAATTTGACCATATAATCAATTTACCGTAATCTTTCCATATCACAAATTTCATTTACAATTACCATCATAAAAACACATAAGTTCTAATTCTGTTAACTAAATCACCCAATTTTACAAAAAATAGAGATTTTATAGGTACAATCAATTATGGTACGTATAATATATTTCTGATATGATTTTTAAATAAATTTCTTCTCAAAACAAACACATAATTCTATTTGCAAAAACGCCCCAAATGATATTCATGAAATTATATCAAGCACAGATATTGGCACCCAGTTCAGACCTTTTTCTCGTACCGAAAAACACAAAATATATAAAGGATTTATAGAGAAAAATAATAAATAATAATAGGATTGAAAATAATAATAATTGATATTAGAAAAAATAAGTACCCAATATATGATATTTACAAAATATCAATGCAGAATTTGGAAAAATTTAACCACGGGTCGATGAGATTTAAAAAATTAGGAAGAACTAATTTAGATTTAATTTATTTAACTTTAATTTTGATTTTATTAAATGCTTTTTATATACGTTTGATATTTATATATGAAATGTATAATAACTGTAATAATATGTATTAATTATTTAATAGAAAATATTTAACTATCAAATAGTATCATCTCTTATATTTTCTGATTGGAATTATATAATATTGAGAAATTTGTAGTACCAGATATTTCATTACTGTATCGAAGTACCAAACATGTATTTGCCCGTGGTTAATTTTCTGGAAATGTTTAATAAATCCTTTATATCACAAATCATCAGATTTTAAACCAAGATCTAATATTATGCGCTTTTTCTTTTTGGCTTAAAATCTGATAAATTTTATTGTCCTTACATACGCATTTAAATTTATATTTTATATTATACATATATAAAATCATACTTCTAACATTATATTTAAATAATTATTAATTATTTTATTCTTGCTAAGAATTTCATTTCGTATTTTTGAGTATGGAATGCAGTATATAATTAGGTGCCAGTAACCATTTTCTTTCAGGTTATGCTAAAAACGAACGACATAATTTGGCGAATGATTTTGTAATAATATTTTTTGCAAAATCGCAATTTGTTGAAATTGCGGAACATTTTTTATTGCATAGTTTAAAGAAGTTTGCACGGAGAAGAACGACGTATGCATATTTTTTGAATGTTTTATTAAATCAGTGCCATGAGGTTTAAATATTCAGCCGAACATTTTTTTTGTAGAACAATTTTTGGATATTCAATTTTTTTATAGATACTTATATCATCAACATATTTTTCTGCGATATGAAGTGCGTTTTTTTAATTTACTCTACAGAATTGGATGAATTGGAAGTACATTAATTTTAACCGCTGCAAAGATGAATAGAGCTTTTTCTTGATCGAAAAATTCATCCAATTCTGTATCTATAAAATATATAATATATATAATATTATATAAATATGATTTTATATATTTATAAATCTATAAATATATATGGTGCAATTGACGTGATCATGTTTCTCTTTTTCTATATTATCTCTGCTGTGCTTTTGGCCTGTGTAATGGTTGTCTCGTCGACATTTGCATGCCGCTTCAAAAATCAAAAAATAATCAAATCAAATCATTCACACGTAAGTATTTCTTGATAATTTGGTTGACAATAATTGATTTAATTGACTGATTAATACAGTACAAACCAGCAATAAATATTTGTGGAAGAAATGTCCATTGCTGGAACAAAACGACAAAGTATCTTCAATTGCAATATTAGTCAAGATTGGAATTCATATTGAAAATATAATAAATGATTTCTGCAATTATTGATTACTTTGTTGGACCTGTATTTATTCATGCACATATATTTTATTAGGTATAAATGAATTTTAAAACGATGCCAAATATTTTATAACACTAATGTATTAACACTAACCTTTTTTGAAATTTTTTTGCCAATCATTTTTTTGCTAAAGTAATACGAATTTGAAGTTTTTATTCAAAAATATTAATATTGAGAATAATTTAAAAATTCAATCAATACTAGCTTAAATATAGCTTTAATGTTTAAAATAGCCTTAAATCATTTCAAGATTTAGAAGGAAATATCGAGCAAAATTTTGCTAGCTAATCACGTATTTTTTGTATACAAAACAGAATTTTTTGTTATTTCTGAATCTTACTGACCAAAATTAATACTTATATTTGATTTGACACAATATTTACACTACTTCTTTAAAATCTGTGAATTAATTAACACAAATCAGTGCTCAAGTTACAATGAACTTATATAAAATTTTCCATCCCAAAAATAATTTAAAAATAAAATATATAAAAATACATTTATTTCTCTTGTTGGCCATTTACTCGACTTATCGTTAATTTATTTCATGCCATAGAATCCTTTGCTAGTAGAAATATTTGCATGGCGATTGAATTTCATCGAAAACCTTTAGTAATTTGTTATGTGTGGCGGCTGATGCACGATTTTGATTACTTTTTTTCTATCCTATAGATTTAGAATAAACCTTTCACAAATTTGAGTAAAAAATAATAGATAAAATAAAAAAAATAGAAGAAATAAAAATATTTCAACATCTGTGCTGTTGACATACTCAAATTTGTTGTTAGTTTAGCATGTTGTATCATATTTATAAGTAGACCAACTAATACGCTTTCTGATATTATTAACAAATCCTTATAGACAGAAAAATTAAATTTCATAATAAGTCCACTCGAATTATATTTGTATGCAATCAGTTTGTATTTAAACTAAATCATTGACTAAAAACAATATTTTGACCAAAACGATGATTGCTTTTTTTAGTAATTATACGCTAAAAGCTTTTAACATATACGATTTTGCCAAATTTACCATATTAGTAGATATTTAATGCGTGCTGATAATTCCTAATTTTGCATATACCTTACTCAACATTTTTACTAGACAGTAAATTTTTAATACAGCTCTGATCTTATAGAATTTTTTTCTAATCTTTTCTATAATTTTTACTACTTTTCTATAATTCTATTGCCTTGAGCATGCTTCCAATTAGTTTCTGAAAGTTGTATAGTAATATCCCAGAGATGTGAACAGTGTCCCTTCCATATACAAGTGAGTCGTATAAAATACAATTATATTTATCATTTTATTATAATTAAAAACGTTACTTGTAGTTATAAAAATACATCATGTAATATATTTGAGCGCATTTCTCACAAATCATTTGGATAAAAGAGTCATATTTTCAATAACTTACAGGTAGATTCATCAAAATCTTCGAAAAGCGCTCAAAACTAATTTCATTTCATTTTTTACGAAATTTACGAAATCATTCAAAATTCAACGTTTTAAATCAGTTTATAATTTCATAAACCATTTATTTTTATTTTTATATCCAAAGTTGAGATTAATTCATAGAAGTGTTTAGTCCATTATAATAGTGTATTTACAAGTATCTATAAAAATGAATTAATGTCAATTTTTATATATATTATTATAGTTCAAAAACATAGAATTTAGATGACAAACCTTTAGTTAAAATTACATGTTGTAGCTTAAATTTTATTTTGATTAACAGGGCTGATCTGGGTGTTTGAACAAAAATTAAATTTAACCAAAACTATAAAAAGTAGTTATATTTCAAATTACACTTTTTCATTATTTTGTTAATACCAAAATTAGTTTCAAACAACAAAATTTGGCTTATAAATGTGCCTTATGACTACCTGTATAGAATGTAAATTATTGAAAGAGCAAAAAAGTACCTTATTTATTTTTAGTTATCTTTGAACTGTGTTAGATCAATTGTTGTACTTTTATTTCTTTTTAGAGTTTTATTGGTGTTTTCGTGCGTATAATTTTAGAAAATGCAGTGACGTTTTATTCCACTGAGGAAATCAGTGGCGCCTGTATGAAAATTTGCACTATGGAAACTGATGTAAGAAATAAAAAAAATGAAAAAAATTATAATTGATAGTGAAAAGAATTATTTTTTAGATACAAAGTATATTCTATCTTTGATTATCATATCAGTAATTTAATAATAGTAATCAGTAATTTTTATAATATTCTATCTCCTCATTATTATATTAAATTATTAATTTACATCAGTTGCCAGTGTTTCTCAACGTTAGTCATTGCTTACTGGGGTGAATTGCTTCTAGGTGATAACACAGCTATAAAATTAACCAAATGTAACCCAATGCAATGCCCCTCTATTTACACTCTATATATAAACTTACAAATCTCCTACTAGTTTTTAAAAAGCCCCATTCCTGACTTGAATATTATTGTTCTAGTGTATTTAAATGGCAACACCACTTTTTTAAATAGAAGCTGTTTTGTCAAAAGCAACACACTTTCTCATTTAGATGTACGTCCCGTGGTAAAACACAACTTATTAATGTCGATTTGTTCGAATCACTTTTGATGTGAATTCATAAAATTATGAGTAAAAAAATGTACAAAATTGAGCAGTTGTTTCAGCGCCATATAAAGTTTAGACTCTCATATCTTACTAACAAGTAATATTTCGGCCAAATTTAAAATCTAGAGAAAAAAATAGTATAAAAATATTTGTAAAAATACTCATAACGTAATGTATCGAGGTCTATTCTCTATTTATTTAATATGCAGGTTTTTATAATAATTCAAATTAAAATAATTTAACGAATACATCAATTTAACGAAACAATCCCATATTTTCAAGAATAAATTCCAAAAATAAGAATAATAATGAAGCAACTAATTAACAATGACCCTCGTGGATTCCTGAATCATAATTCCAAGTCGTTCAATCGTGAAAATTCTTAATTAGCAAACTCAAGTAATTTACTTGAGTAATTTTGGCTTCGAGAAATGGTTCAATTATTTTGTGACATATCTCAATTGCAACTTTTCTAATCGAAAGTACAAAATTATTTGTCAGTCTTTTGCAAATCTTGCAAATTTCACATAATTTAATAAAAAAAATTAATTTATAGCTGCCTGCATAAAAGTCTTCAATTATTCCTTAGATGGCATTAAAACAATTTGCAATATCAATATTTAATGTTTATCACAACAATAATTTGAAAAGCTATAGAGGAACTGTTATAATTTATTCATATGATTATATCTAACTATTACCATTTTTTCATAATTATATGAATTCATGCTTCACGTTGCTCCACCTCACAAAATTATAAAAAATATTTATATGTTGTCTCTATTTA